GTCATTCGCAAAATGAACCAAAATTAAGATCTCACAATATCACTGAACCATATGTATAAACCATAAGAGTTTTGGATGGTACAATTTATGAAAGAAGAATCACTTGTCATTTAAATGTGGAACAATAATACGGTGGTCACTCAGAATGCCACATTGGCTTCAAGATCTGGCATATGCCGTCACTTGCAAAATGAGCCAAAATTAAGATCTCACAATATCACTGACCCATATGTATAAAGCATAAGAGTTTTGGATGGTACAATTTATGAAAGAAGAATCACTTGTCATTTAAATGTGGAACAATAACATGGTGGTCACTCAGAAGGACACATAGACTTCAAGATCTGGCATACGCCGTCACTCGCAAAATGAACCAAAATTAAGATCTCACAATATCACTGAACCATATGTATAAACCATAAGAGTTTTGGAAGGTACAATTTGTGAAAGAAAAATCACTTGTAATTTAAATGTGGAACAATAATATGGTGCTCACTCAGAATGATACATGAGCTTCAAGATCTGGCATATGCCGTCACTCTCAAAATGAACAAAATTAAGATCTCACAATATCACTAAACTATATGTATAAACCATAAGAGTTTTGGATGGTACAATTTATGAAAGAAGAATCAATTGTCATTTAAATGTGGAACAATAATAAGGTGGTCACTCAGAGGGACACATAGGCTTCAAGATCTGGCAAGTGCGGTCACTCACAAAATGAAAAAAAATTAAGATCTCACAATATCACTGAACCATATGTATAAACCATAAGAGTTTTGGATGGTACAATTTATGAAATAAGAATCATTTGTCATTTAAATGTGGAACAATAATACAATGGTCACTCAGAATGACACATATGCTTCAAGATCTGGCAAACTTGTGCCGTCACTTGCAAAATGAACCAAATTAAGATTTCACAACATCACTGAACCATAATTATGTATAGATGTAAAACAAGAGTTTTTGACTGTAAAAATTTCAAAAGGGAAATCATTTGTCATTTGAAATGTAGTAGAATATTAAATAATAAATTATAGTGACCACTGCTTTGTCAAGTGCTGTCACCTGAAAAGTACAGTAACCCCAAAGATCTAACATATTAACTCAGCTGTGCAACAAGCCAAATTTCTGAATTATGGGCATGCTAAGGTCACATCACCGACTTATATTGGTGTAAAAGAAATGTTTGCCTGCACAGCTCAAGATCCGGCTACTTAAGATTATTCTATTAATGAAGACGATGCGCAACAAAGAGTACAGTTATTTCGGCAGTAAACAAAAAGGAATCAATCAATGGCATATCTGTGCATGCATCTTAAATTTTAAGATTTATCTTTGAGATTTTCAGCTTACGCAAAGTTATTAGAAAACCAAAGTAAGTAAACGAACCACGATATCAAGAAGAACATACCTTTCTGCAATCCAGCTGAGTTGATGACTTGGAAACAGGCTTTATGTGAAGAATATCGCAACTGATCACTGTCTCTCGAAGATAACAAAGGTATAAATCGTAATAGAACAGCTGAATAGAAAGACAGGCTTTCTATTATCCGAAAATAACAAAACTACTCGTTTTGCAACGCTGTATCGCTTGTGAAGTCCGCGTGAATTTGAACTGTTCAACGAAAGTTTATTTTACACTATTCTATTGGTTCAAAAGCCACACGTGACAATGTAAATCAAATCGCGCATGTGCCAAAGTCACAGGAAGCCTGGGCAACAAACATGGCGGCTGATCTTGCGACGGAGTGCATTCAGGACTACATTCACCCGGACGATGAAACTCTGCAATCTACTATTGAAATGACTCCTGGGTTCAGACCTTTCACATATTGTGCATTTTGTTCACCCAAATTGTAAATGGTAACGTTTTACGTCAGGGCCTCCTATTCCGAGACTTCTTGTGATATTTTTTTTCCGAGCCACCGACACAATATCAGGAAACGCATTCGACGCTAAACGAAAAAAAAGGGGGGATGGCCTTACCCGAAATAACCAGCTGCAGCAAGTAATATTATAAACTTTGAGAAGAATGTGATGGTGATTGAAACGGAAAATGCAATGGAAAATCAAAACTTGCGTGAAATAACACTATGAAGTTTGGTAAATGTGCAAACGTTGGTTAAAGTGGTCGTAAAGATAGTTCTTTGATCATATTTTGCTTAAATTTACGCCTCTAGTAACCATAAATTTACACATTAACTTTGCTATGCCAGAAAATATCAAGCAAACATTCAGTTTTGACGCTCGATTTTTACACACAGAACAAAATGGTGGCAAATTTGAATCTAAACACCAAATTTACTATGGGGAGCAAAAGTGAAACAAAATATCTGTAAACTTGATATTTACTCCACATTTACGCCACCCTTGCAGAAAAGTAAACTTTCACTTTCGAACAAAATTTGCACCAAGAACAAATAAGTAGCAACATTAGTACCCTAAATTTACAATAGATTTGCTCAACTAGCAAACTTAGGCAAATCCGTTTTTTCGTCCAGTGCATTCAAGAGCCATAATGGCTCTTGATCACAGTAGATTAGGCCTCGAAAACAAATTCTTGGAAAACAAATCAGGCCAAATTTTTTTGCGTTCGATAGGTTTACTTTACAAATTCTTGCCAGTGAAATCTGGGGGTGTGTAAACCAACCTTTTATACTCTTTATACACTACATCACATCTGAGGTGAAACAGTACTATTTATCATACAGACCTCGGGCAGAATGCGGCATTTCACAATTTCTCAAGACAAATTGCACTTAGTCGATATTCAGGACGATCAATCGTGGGCTTTTAGCGAAACCGTTCAAAAAAATTGCAAAATCACCCATACGGCCAGCCGGTTCTCATTTCTAGTGCGAGCTGTCAGTGTGGTCGAGTGTTTGAATGAACTTTAATAGAGTTACGCTTCAACATAATAACGAATTTATTATTATTATTTTTTGTTATTTAATGGTTTCAGTTATAACGATGTGTAATCTTATAAAGCGTTTGATACGCGCGACATTTTTGAGTACTCACTCAAGCAAGCAAGCGATGCTCATGAACGATGAAAACAAACGGCACGTACAAGCGATTAAAATTGCAAGGGAGACAATCAATAAAAATCAATAAAACAAATATAATTCGGTGAAACATTTACAGAGACAACAATTTTCATTCACGAAGACAGGTATTAAAGTGTCTCTAAAAGTCCTGAGTCTTTAAGCTTAAGTTAATTATGTTTTACTTTAAGCCGGCCTCCCGGTGTTTGCTTTTTTCAAAGATGAACTCCTCGAAGCAAGAAAATCGCTCAAAGGTTTCTTTCTACAGCCAAATTTATAACTAAATATTCTTCGGAACGTTTTCTTTCTATTTGCGTTGAGAAAATATATCTGAAGGTCTTTTAAAGTTCTGTAAGCTTATATCAAACCTGACACTAGGTCAGATCATCGACTCAAATCTTACAAACGTGCATAAACTTGCCGCATAAACTGTGCTCGACTTTATGAAATTAGATATAACAAAAACAAACATCAAATATAATAATTACTCAGGCTTACCATTCGAGATTCAGTTCCTGAATGCTATCAAGGAAGGCCACAGTTGCTTGAGACTTTTAGACCCTGTTACGCATTAAGCAAAGTGAAAAACGAAAACGATGCCATCCGAAATCGGACTACCGAATTTTGACAAGCGACGCATTTCTCAACCAAAAACTGAATAAACAAACCAGCCATGAATAATAGAAGACTCTTGACAGTAGCTGTATTTCATTTTGTACATCCAGTCGAAAAAGGCAGTTAAAAACATCACAAGTTGACACAAAATTCTGTCAGCTTCAGCTGTCTAAGTAAACAACTTTCAAGATGCTGCATAAATTTTCCGCATGAACTCACCTGTCAAATTTTGACCAATCAGAGCATAAAAATTGGACGTAGAGCGTGACAACTCGTGACCAATTTTCGCGTCCGAGGCCAGTTTGAAATCAAAATCTTTATAGTGCGGGGCCATAATGACATAAACACAACATATTTCATATGAATTATTGGAAAAAATAAACTTGAGCCTGCGATCATTTGAAACGGGCTGAAACTGGTTATTTGTCAGCGGATAACTTCAAAAAATACTCGACCTCGATGGGTCGACACTTGAGCCCGCGGTACGGTCATGTGATACTGGTCAGCGGACACCCTGTTTTGACAGCTGTGAATTGATCACAACATTGATGAGCAATTAGTTTTCTCCTGGGCTCCTAACTAGCTAGTAAGTGTGAGAGTAAACATTGGTTTCCCTGTGGTGTAGACGGACGGTCGTTCGGCGTACGGTCACGTGATTACCAAATTTTCTGGGATGGGTAGATTTCCTTAGCTATGGGGCTCCGCCCACGCGCAGCGCTTCGCGTAGCGCGTGGAGCTCCTCTATTAAAGTGATTACAGCCTGCCTTTGGGAATTAGACATTTCTTCTTTATCAAAGGATTCATTGACGCAATCTATGAAGGCCTCACCAATGAGATCCCAGCAGTTTTGTAAAATTCAATGGAGAGACCATCATTTCCTGGAGATTTATTGTTTTTCAACGTTTCTATAATTGTCCTACATTCCTCGGTAGTAATTCGTCCTTCACACGATTGCCTTTGTTCTTCCGATAGTTTAGGAATATTTAACCTATTTAGAAATGCCTGTATGGAATCCGAAGCCTCTACAGAGTCATTAGTTTTGTATAGGTTTTCATAAAATGGTTTTTGTTCGGAGAGTATCCGATATGGGTATCGGATGTGTTTTTTAACATGGTTTCTCTTTTCTAAATTTAAAAAGTATTTGGTACTCCTTTCACCATACTCATGCCAATGTGCTGTTGCCCGTATGACGATTCCTTTTACTTTTTCCTCATATAAAAGTTCTAATTTTTCTTTGATTTTATCTAAACGCAATCTATTTGAGGCACTAGGGTCATTTTCAAACAGCCTGTTAGCATCTTCAAGTTGTTGTTGAATCCGCTGCTCTTTCTCTTATTTAAGTTTGGCTTTTTCTTTGGAGTAGCTAATAGCGTGCAATCTAATTGTATTTGATCCAGTCCCAAACGCATTGTTTGTTGGACAGATCAATTTCACCCTCTTGTTTAACTGTTCTAAGTAGTTTTCATCCTCTAAGAGCGAAACATTCATCTTCCATATACCAGGACCTTTTATTTCTCCAATGTCTCCTAGAACTAAGGTTATTGCTGCATGATCTGTGCGTATTGCAGGCTGTATTTCAGTAGCGTTTATAAAATCACAGAGATTGTTAGAGAAAAGCCAAAAATCTAGACGACAGAGAACTGTTGGGGATTTTTGACTCCTCGTGTAACTTCTTGTTTGAGGGTTCTTGATTCTCCAAATATCAACTAAGTCCAGTTCGCTTTGTAAAGTTTCAAGGCTATTAATTGCTGCTCTTCTTGGAATCATATGACACCACCGTGTTTATCAAGACCTAGGATTTTAAGGACAATTGAAATCACCCCCTAATATAATGTTTTTCTAAGTAATTTTCTATAAAAAACTGAATTAGATCCTTATGTTTGTTCGGTGCATAGATATTTACAAGAACATATACTTTGTCATCGATTTGGATTTTTAGTATAATAAAACGACCCAAAAATGAGTTGTCGATAGAACTGAATAATTGGTATTGTTTGTGATCAATATTGCTGTACCACATGAATTAGGGCTTCCATATCAGAAAAGTATTTCGCCACCCCATTCATTTTTCCACTGCACCTCTGTCTCCTTCTTTGAATCCGTTTCTTGCAATATACAACATCAGCCTTCTGTTTACGGCACCATGTATAAATTGTACGTCGTTTGGTAAAGTTGCTAATACCCCTTACGTTTAAACAAACTCATCAAATTAACGGTTAAAGCGAAGTTTTAACCTTAAATGTGTAGTGCTTGGAGTGCAGAAGGAACCACGGACAACCCAACGTTGTATACTTCTGACGCTATTAATTAAGAAAGGACGTGAACTCTTACGTATAAAGCATATTATGGTATATTAACTACAAATAGGCATTGACACAAAAGACAAAATAAGCAAATAAAGACGAGACAAACATTACCCTGGGTACCAGAGGTTTTTCTCGCGTGCGGCGGAAATTTTCGGTGTTGGCCGAAGGCCGACACATCTTCGGCCGTAGGCCGAAGCCACGAGCGGCGAAGCCGCGAGAAAAACCTCTGGCACGGAGCGGTGCTTTTTACCGTCCCCATTGACCTTTGTGCTTTTTTATCGGATTACATTTACGCCAATCAGATTGAAAGTCTCCGACTGTGATCATGTGGGCCGGCACGTGAAGAAGTGTCCAAAGACCCACATTATCCTCAGCAAAACAAGTTGGAGTTTAAAATTCATTGCTTTAAGAGCAATCATGACTGGGTCACATTGCAGTTCTCCATAGTTGATGTATCGAGATTAGGGTCTGAAAATCATTATCCGTGAGAATTTAACATCCTGCTAAAAACGCTAACGAGCTGGTCCCAGCGTGACAAAACATTGCCGGAAACCGTCACTTTCACGGACAAAAAGAAAATCGCTTATAATTATTCAGATCCAGAAGGCACTTTGGAGAAATTAAACAACCTAAAACCCTTATTTAGCCGCATTGAAGAGCTTAACATTTCAAAAAAGGTCAAAGAAAATGTCGACCAGACACAATAACTGCAGAAAATCAATATGCGTGTCACGACCTATCAGTATGAAATAATCGGCAAAAATCAATTTGCTCAGTCAAAACGTTTTTCTCCAGAGCATAATCTACCCATCACGGAAAAAATTCATTGGAACAAGCAGCATTTTGGCATGAGGCAAAAGTCGTGTGTTGCCTTCTGACCTTCCTTTTAGACTACAAATATATGTTTTGTTTTTATATTCCTAATCCATCAATACAAACTATTTCAAAACATGTTGTAATCATTTGAAATAGGAAATTAGTAAAGCTTAAACCGTATTGCTACAAAAGCTGAATTGGTGATAAAAGCTTAATTGCGTTAAATAAAATCAAACACTCCACTTGTTTGCTCATAGCTTTTAACTTGCCCTTCTAGTACATTGCTTATCATGCTTTTCCAAAACTTTCCAAAGCCAACACACAACACAACAACACTTCTAAAGCTGGAAATATTCTTTCATGTGCTGGTCTATTCTTTTCAACCAATTGTAGCGTCTGTTAGATTCAAAGTCCCTCAGGTGGTCGTTAGTAGCCAATCAGCCGTCTTGTCCAAAATCTGGACCAACTGATTTAACCGTACTAACGATTGGATCGGCGCCATCAAAGCAATAGCGCTCTGCTCCAGAGGCTTTTCGCGCGGCTCACTATAAAGACTTGACAGAAACCGGAAACCGCGCTAGAAAACCGGACACCGCGCTAGAAAAGTCTCTGGCACCCAGGGTAGACAAACATAAGCCAACATATATAATTACAAAATACAGATGCAAAGACATAATCCTCCCCCAGGAATGTGTGATTAAAGACTGCCGCCTCTTTTCCCGTTTTGGATCAATTATCTATTAGGGCAACCGCCATTTATCTTAGTACTGAATACAGCTGTTTTGGCTTTAGCTTTGCTTTCTTATTTACCAGTTAACGGATGTGTTTATGCTAATTACATAATTAAATAGGTGGTGAGAGAAAAAGAGAGAAAAAGAAGTTACGATAAGTTATCGTAATTTAGCATATTGGCATATTAGGGAAAGTGAAAGTTATTTTAACGGGATATATTTACCGTTTATGAAAAGCTTATCTGGATATTTTTTTACTAAAGTACGCTGTGTCACCTCTCTCTTTCGCATTCTGCAGTTTTTTGAATTGTGCTTTTCTTAATTCATAAACTTCTTTTGGCATGTCTTCGAAGACACTGTAAGTCTTGTCTTTTAACAACTTCCTCACCTTAAATAGGATTTCTTCGCAGTCGCAGTAACTAGGAACTTTGCGATGATGAGGCACGATTTCTTACCTCTCTCTTCCCTACCCGGTGAACGCGTTGGAATTCAATTCTGTTCCGAGCGTTTTTGGATTTGTAGCTCTTGTTCCATAAAATTGTAGATGATCTCTTTCGTGTTCTCCGTGTTTTGACTACTGACTGTACTATTTTCTTCGTCATCTCGTGTACCGACCTCTTCTTGAATTCCAATAAACATTAAGTTCTCTCTTCTGCTGTCGTGATCTTGGTACTAAAAGAAGTTGCATCTTAAGATTGTCCACATCATGTCGCAAACCTTTCACATCTCGCTGTAGGTCACTAATATCCTGGTCGTTGTAATCAACGCTCTGCTCGTGGTCATTTACCTTTTGACTGGTCTTCTTTGTCTTCTCCTTTAAGGCTTCTCCATCTTTTTTCAATAATTGCGAAGCACTCTTCTATATTGGCCACTGACTTGTTCAGATTCTCTAGAAGCAGTTCGATACTATCCAACTTGTTTAATTTGTTCAAAATTAGGTCGACTTAAGATTCTAAATTTTCGGCCATATTCAGCGCTTTCAAAATGTCGTCTTCGTTCTCGCTTTCTAACGCACTATGATTCTTTTCTCGTGTTTTCATTTCTTCAGGGGAAGAAGCATTCGACGACCACGATTCTGGCCTATATTTCGTTTGAGCGGCATTGCTAAAAGCCATCAATGATATAATTCGTGGCGGAACACTAAAAATAGAGTCCTACTCCTTCGGCATTCCCAACGGTGCGTGTTTGGTCTTTAGATCTTAACGAGCGACTCACGTACTTGATTTTTTAAAATTATTAGTGATATTAAAGTTGTTTTAGATGTTTTGGTAAGGCATTTTACGCTTTAGCTGTGTAGTATATGTTTAAAATTGGTACGGCATGAGATTAGAGGTTGCTGTAGCATTGAGGAAACTCGAATGCCGATTGCTTTTGATAAACCTAGGGATAGCATAATCATTTTTTGTAGATAAAAAATGTATCAGCCATGATACAATCGTGCCGGTAGCCGGGTATGTTAAGTAAATTATAACGTAGCCTTGTGGCAGACGTTCCCGTTTACTCTGTTGTTTCGCAAAGGAAATATAAAACGTCTGTACTCAAGCCAAAATGGGCGTGGAGTTGGCAGGGAAACACAGAGGCAAATGAGATTGCGAGGGCGCTCTCCGGGTGCCGATCTTCCATTGGTCAATTCGGTTTTAAGATTTGCGCGCCAATTCGTCGCTCTCGGCATGTTGTCACGATCTCAGTCATTCTTTTTGACATTTTTCAAGGGCTAAAGAATACTGCATTCGTTTTTACATTTTTCAAGGGCTAAAGATGTAATTAATCATCTGTAATAACACCAAAGAAAATTTCTTATGGGAGCCCCAGAAAATGAATGTCAAATTACACAAAATTACATCTTACACAAATTTTCAGAATTTTAACTCTGTTTTCACAATTCTTGTGAAATTTGACATTCATTTCCTCGGACTCCCATGAGAAATTTTCTTTGGTGTTATTACTTAGCTCGGTTGGTCGCTGGTACTGGCGACGTCGGTCAAGATTCTCCCATACAGACCTCCGCTCGGTTAATAAGATGTTTATTACATGGCAAAACAAGAAAGCAAAGGAACAAAACATAAATAATTTTATTTGCTTCCCTGCGCGGGCTCAAGCATTTAGCTGGCTTTCTTCTGTCACTGGTCTCCAGTCCTATCGGGACAAAAATGACTGTTCAAAGTCCAGCTTTGTACAAACTTCGTCAATGAATGAAGACAAAATTTTTCACTCAGGCTAAATGAAAAAGCTTGTGGTTGAAACAACAATTTATGAAAAGTGGCCAAAAGTGTAACTGCATTGAAGTAATGCCTGTCTGTGTCCTAATCGCTCAGCGATCAGTTCTCATTCAGCCTTGCGATCTCGCGATCTTCGACTGATCATCACAGAAAACGTTGATGTTAAATGTGCAGCCTAATTATATATTGTAACAACAGATTACTCAAGTATCCAAAAATATACATTCAGTTTTGTGATTTCCGCAGTTTACTATCAAGACCGCTTTAGATTGTTTTTTTTCCCAATATTTTAGTTACATTTTGGTTACAATCTTACTATCCGCGCAGATGTTTTTAATCGTCTTATTAATTTATACCATTACTTTTTACAGGTAACGATACAAAGCATACCATTTTAGATAGTGTAAATGGTACGAAGTGTATTCAGTTTACCCATCCAGGCTCTGGTGAAAGGTATGCGCTAAAGGTGGAATATAGAACAGGGGTGGGCAGAGTAGTTTTTGAGGTGAGTTGACATTACAATCATATGCAGGGTATTCACGTACAGTTGAACCTCAATTAGGCGGCAACCGTTGCCGGAATACAAGTAAGCGGCCGCTTAATAGAGGTTGGCAGAAACATCACTTTATTTTCAGACAAACCACAGGCAGCCCAAGCTCAGTATGAGAGTTTAGTCAGCGTGTGTTATCATATTGCGTAATCCTCAAAATGGCCGTGATTATAAAGGATTTGTATCGGAATTCAGGTGAGCTTGGGCTGCCTGTAAACAAAGACGCAAAGGGAGCGTAATTTATACTGCCGCTTGATAGAGGTGATGGGGAATGGTCAAAAGGTGCCCGCGGCCTTTTGATGGAGTTCCGAGGCCGCTCATAAAATTAATAGAGGTTTTGACAATACTTTTCCACAATTATTTATTGAGGGTTCTACTGAACTTAGCTCTAGTATTATTAGAACCATTTATAATATATTGCATATATTGTGGGTGTATTTCACGAGCACAGAGCCTTTAAGTGTGCTCTTTCCCTTAGACCAGACAAACATGTCAGAGATCACTGGAAGTAAATCAAGAGAAAATAGAAACACATTGCTGGATAGAAACAAAATTCCAACCTAACCGCGGCGTTCCATTACTAAACGTTTTGACTGAAACTTTGATTACTTCTGGATCAGTCATGTAGGACTGGACGCGAGAATGTTTGAAAAATGAATGGCAAGTTTCAGTCGGACCGGGCCGACTAGTCAAAGATGACCTACTTTTTTCCAGAACATTTCCACCTTCGCAAAGCGTTCCATTTATATTTAGACCAAGATTTCCAGAAGGTTTTGCATAATGGAAACCGCTTTGAGACCAGGGTATTTAGTCAACGGTGCGAGGTTTTGTGAATGGTTGGCTGAGTTGGTAGCGTACCGAACTGCTGAGCGAGAGGTGGCGGGTTCGAAACCTGAATAGACTGCCAACCGGAGTCTAAAAAAACGGCTAGATTGCAGAATACCCGGCCCACTAAATATCTGACTAAAAAAACTGCTCCCGCAGCCCCCAGTCGTCCGATTTGCAAAAGAAATTCTGACATCGACTGTGGGCGTGCGCGAGTGCGGGAGAACTAGTATACCTTGTTCTATAAGCACACTAGTTACTTGAAATCGACTGCGGGAGTATACGGGACTGTGGGAGCACTAGTTAGCGACCGCACACAGGAGTGCTGGACTGCGGGAGCACTGTCTGGTATACCTCGTTCTATAAGCATACTAGCTACTTGAAATCGTTTGCGTGAGTACGGGACTGCAGGAGCACTAGTTGTATACCCACTTACTATTTTCTTTTTAGCGACTGTGGGATTGCTGGACTGTCGCAGGAGCACTTGTTTTACTCACTTAGATTTAAGTATTCGGCATAACACGACTGCGGGACTGCGGGAGGAGTTTTACAAGTAAGACATTTAGTGGGCCGGGTATTCTGCAATCGCTAAATAAACACTGGTGAGATCTTGCTGACATAATTTAAAACTGAGACAGTGCAATAGTTCTAATAGTTCTTAAAATCAACAATAATACAAGAAAAGGTCTAGCTAAGTCAATGTAAAAAGTGAGTGCCGTCCTCAAGTAATAGAAAATTGTTGGCAATATTTGCTTCTCCAAACAGATATTTTACAGAAAACAGTCGTTGGGTGCCCCTGAAGAAAAGGTTACAGTCAAGCCAAGTCAAGCGTACCCTCAAGATTCGATTAATGAATTTATTATTCGAAAGTTGAATCCGTTGGTAGTTGTAGATTTCACATTCATCTCTACATTCTTGCGTGCGTAATGAGCCTTGTATTCACACGCGACACTTACGCGAGGCAGTTAGGAATTTTCTACCGGCTCATTTTCCCTGAAATTGATGTCTTCTAAGAAATTTCGTCCATTCAAAGATTTTCAATTTGACCAAATACAGAGACAATTCACTGCTCATTACGCATGCAGTAATGCCGATTTGAATTTGACAATAGTTACGGGAACGACTATAAACGGATTCAAACTGAATCAATTCATAATAGAATTTTAGGGGTACGCTTGACCTGCCTTGACTGTAAGTAAAGTTAGTAAAGAGGTTTAAAAAAACAAATTGATCTAAACGGCCAAGACGTATCAATGCTCTGGTATTTATACACTGTGTTCAAGTATATTCGCCGGATGCATTTTAGTTTCGTGGAATTTGCTACTAACAGTTATGAGAATAAACGCCTCCTCGTGGGCTCCGAAAGTTATTAGATCATTCACGGTATTTATACTGTTTTACATAATAATTTTGTTTACAGAAGCATCAATGTGACGAAGACGGCAATGACCCAGAGGAGTTCCGGTTTAATCAGGAATGTTACCGACATGGTGGAGGACGTTTTTATGTATACAAACCAGTCAAGAACCAATCCTTGTGCGTTAGCAAAAACTGTGTTTCCCAGAAACTAACTCTTTATAAGTATAATATTACACAAAATGAGACGGCACAAGACACCCCCACCTACACAGGACAACAATTCGATCGTCGTTGCGCATTTAAACGTTTTTTTTGTAAACCGCTGAATGATAATTGTGTTGTTAATAAACATGATGATAATTTGCATCTGACTAAATTGATAAAGTATATCGTGTAAATTTTATTACTTTTTGAATTTTCTATGAAATTGATATTTTTGGTCGCTAAGCTCGCCCAAAGGTTTCCTTTCAAGCAAAGACTAATATTTAAGGACATGAAAATCAACAGCTGTGTAACAATGCCAATAGTATTCAATTTTCTTTACATATTTTTAAAGAAATTAAAACTCATTGAACCCAACATTTCAGTTGCTATTGGGACGGAGGAATTTGTCGGGGGATTTAGGGGATAGGAGTTAGAATGAAGCATT